CGCTAGATCAGGGGCAGCGGGGCCGTGAGCGCTGGGGCGGCGGGGCCGCGAGATCAAGGACGGCGGGGCCGCGAGATCAAGGACGGCGGGGCCGCAAGTGCTGGGGTGGCGGGGCCGCGAGATCAGTGGCGGCGAGGGCCGCGAGATCAGGGTCGGCGGGGCCGCGAGTGCTGGGGCGGCGGGGCCGCGAGATCAGGGGCGGCGAGGGCCGCGAGATCAGGGTTGGCGGGGCCGATGGAGCAGGGGCGGCGGGGCCGTGAGAGTAAGTGGCGGCGGGGCCGTGAGAGAAGGGGCGGCGAGGCCGCGTGATCAGGGGCGGCGAGGGCCGCGAAAGCAGGGGTGGCGAGGCCGCGAGAGCAGGGGCGACGGGGCCGCGTGTAGGGGCAGCGGCGTCGCGTGAGTAAGGGCGGCGAGGGCCGCGAGAGCAGGGCGGCGGGGCCGCGAGAGCAGGGCGGCGGGGCCGCGAGATCAGGAGCGGTGGAGCCGCGTGAGCAAGGGCGGCGAGGGCCGCGAGAGCAGGGCGGCAGGGCCGCGCTGGTAAGGCCGGCCGCTAGGGCGGCTCGGGGAAAGAGTGGCCCGAGGCGCGACTCGGGATGAGTGCGCTTCGGGCAGGAAAAAAACAAATTTCGAGTGGTGGGCCCTAGGCGCAGCTCCCACAGGGGAACCTGCTCGATACCATGAGAAGAACTGAACGAGAATGAATGAACTATGAGTGAAGTGAGTACAAATAGGAAACCCTAGTTGGGTAGTACCCCCTATGGGATACCCTACTATAGCCTACACAACAGTATAAGCTATACAATGTTCTGACACTACCTCGCTGGCAGCCACCCGAGGCTTCAACGGTCCGAGTCAACGCCATCACAATGAAACGGGCTGTCGCTGCTAGAGCTGACGTGTACGCAGTAGATATAGCATTAGTGGGAGAAGAGGAGCAGCCGATCGATTTTCAGAAACTGTTGGCAGCAGTACCGCTCGAACTTCAGGAATTATTGAAACGATACTCGGGGATTTTTCCAGACGACTTACCACAAGGGCTGCCACCTCAGCAGGCGCATGACCAGAGGATCGAATTAGAACTTGGGGCACAGCCAACTGTACAGTGCCAGTTCAGACTGACACAGCCCGAGCTCAACGAACTAAGGAAGTAGTTAGATTATCTGTTAGAGAAGCAGTTTATCCGATCGAGCTCGTCATCGTTCGCCGCACCGATACTGTTCACACCGAAAAAAGACGGAGGGTTTCGCATGTGCATCGACTATCGAGCGCTTAACAGGGTAACAGTAAAATCGCGGTACCCCATCCCCCGCGCCGACGAACTTATCGATCAAATGTGAACAGCACGGGTATTTTCGACAATCGACTTACGGGGAGGTTACCATCAGATTAGGGTCGAACCATCGGACTGCGCCAAGACAACATTTAGGACTAGGTACGGGTCGTTCGAATACACAGTGATGCCCTTCGGGCTGACCAACGCGCCCGCAACATTTCAGATGACCATGAACGAGGCGTTTAGACCGCTCTTAGATAAATGCATGATAGTTTACCTCGACGACATTCTCGTTTACAGTCGGGACAAGCAGCAGCACTTACTAGATCTCGAAACCGTTTTTAAAAATTTAGAGGAACATCGGTTACTCACCAAGGGCTCCAAGTGCGAGTTTTTTCGGGACAGGCTAGAATTTTTAGGACACGTTATTTCGGAGGCTGGGGTTGAAATCGACCCTAAGAAGCTGGATACCGTAAAAGCGTGGCATCCCCCAACGAACATCACGGAACCGCAGAGTTTTTTAGGATTCGTTAATTACGTTCGTCGGTTCGTCCCTGACATGGCCCGCTTAACCGCCCCGCTCACAGATTTACTGCGCAAGGGGGTCGCTTTTACGTGGGGGGAGAAAGAGCATGCTGCCTTCTCTGCCCTAAAAACTGTTCTCTGTTCACCACCCGTCCTACGCATCGCTGACCCACATCGGCCCTTCGAATTTGTTACCGACGCAAGCGACATCGCCATCGGAGCCGTACTGTTACAGGATTTTGGCAACGCCCTCCAACCCATCGCCTACGAATCACGAAAACTTCATCCGCCTGAGCAAAATTACCCGATACACGACCGCGAAATGCTCGCGATCGTGCATGCATTCAAAGTGTGGCGCTGCTACTTGACCGGCGCGGACGTGACAGTACGGACAGACTATCGATCCCTACAGTACCTCCGAGCACAGCCCCACCTCAACCCACGACAGATTCGATGGCTCGATTTCCTCGAGTCAAACTTCCATTATACGGTCACCTATAAAAAAGGAGCCTCGAATATCGCCGACGCACTGACCCGCCCCACTGCCCAGATCCATGCAATACTACTCGCCCGGACCAGCCCGCTACTGACAGGACTATTTACCCACGGATATCAGACAGACCCATTCTTCACAGGAGGAAACTCGCAGCAATTCGCAGCAGCCAAGGGAGTCTATTATGTAAAAGCTGGAACCGACCGCATCTGGGTACCAGGGTACACACTACTACGGGAATTACTATTACAGGAGGCACACGACGGAGTTACCTCGGGACATTTCGGAGTAGAAAAAACACGGCAGCAGCTGCAGCGGTACTATTACTGGCCTGAAATGTTGACCGACGTGCAACGACACGTGGCATCGTGTCCCACTTGCCAGCTCATGAAGTCAACCAGGAAGCGGCCGGCGGGACAATTGCAACCAATCCCACCCCCAGAGCGTGCTTGGCAGTAGGTGACGATGGACTTTGTCACGGGGTTATCAGCTGGGGCGAGTGGGAATGTCGCGATCCTGGTCGTCGTCGATCGACTGACGAAAATGGCACACTTCGAAGCCTGCAAGAAATCAATCACAGCCGAAGAAACAGCCCGCCTCTTCATCGCTACCGTCGTTCGACTGCACGGGATACCAGCATCGATCATCAGCGACAGAGACACGAAGTTTATAAGCAACTTCTGGCGGAACCTGTGGCAGCAGTTCGACACACGCCTACAGTTCAGTTCATCGTAACACCCCGAAACTGACGGACAGACCGAACGGACCAATCAGACAATGGAGCAGCTCATTAGGGCCACGTGCGACAACCCGAACACGTGGGAACAGCAACTGCCACTCATCGAATTCGCATACAACAACGCCCCATCTGCCACAACCCAACAGTCACCGTTTTACCTGAACTACGGACAAGACCCCATTGTACCCATGACCCCAAATCCCAACAACCCCGTTCCACGCGCACAACAATTCGCCGAGATTCTGCAAGCAGCACGGACCAGGGCAGCAGAAGCTATAAAAAAATCAAACATCATCGCTAAACGCAACGCCGACCGCCACCGCAGACCTGTCACTTACCAGCCCGACGACCTCGTTTTACTCGACACCCAAAACCTCCGCCTGCCCATCACTCCCAAACTCCGCCCCCGATACTGTGGGCCATTTCGAATTAGCCACATGATCACACCTGTCACCGCGCACCTCCTCCTCCCTGCTGACTGGTACGTCAGCCCCTCGTTCCACGTCAGCCTGCTTCGCCCTTACGTGCCTTCCACAAGCCACCTCCCACGAAATCGACCAACCAGCATGGCACGACCACCGACCGAGCCAACCATCACCCCCGACAAGATTCTGAGCCACAGAGTTCGCGACCCTCGAGGAGCCCGAAAGATCGAGTTCCTGATCCGCTGGAAAGACCCTACACCCACCGAGGATAACTGGGTTCCCCTGGACAGAATTGAAAACCACCCTGTTCTCACCGAATATCTGCGCAGCCGAAACTTCAAAGACGTCCACGCTCTTTCGTAAGGCGGACCTCCTTAGGAGGGAGGGGTAGTGTAAGGAAAATCACTTTTCCTTACTTCGCATCCCTGCTCAACGCGTACATAACTGTAGCACCTCAGTCAGCACCGTTACCACTCACGACCCTCGCATCGACAATCACCCCGCCATTTTCGCACATCGCAACCCGACCTCACGGCTCGGCTGGTAACCCGCGCTCCGGGCCTACGCTTCGGCACTTTCTCAACCTCAGTCCCACGCTCGTCGCGCGACAACCACAGTCCATTACCGTTACCACTGTAGTTTCGCTATATATTCTTCGCTCATGCCTTCGCTCATTGTATTCTTGCTTCGATAGTGCAATTCTCGTTCGCTTACTCAATTGCACTCGTAACACCACGAGACAAACCACAGCCCATCGGTCAACGCACCGTTTGGGGATGCCGCGGCTCGAATTTGTTTCGAGTCGTGTTCGAATTTGGGCTCAAATTGACATCGGCATTCCCTTACCCAGCGTCAACATTTGCACATTCATTTTGTGCTGATGCGGTGCGCTGGATTCTTCAACCGTTTCAAACATATTCAGCACCTCTCACAAACGAAATGCACCTCGAAATCGGATGCGCTTCGGCGCTGGGGCATATTGCGAGATTGTGCGAGTGCGGTTGAAAATGGTAAACAATGTCTTAACGCGGTATACTTGATATCCAGTACGGTTTGGCAGGGATCCTCTAGAATATCTACATTGCTGGACCTGTGCTAAGAGCAAAATCCCGTCAAGTTACTGGCATTTGGTGGGGTACATCGTTCTGGAGTAGTGTGTTCAGGCTGCGTTTTTCCACTCGAAGTTGAACATTAACTCTCGCCCCGTGAAATTCAGACACCTTCACCGCCCCAGCTGTGGTCAGTGGCGGAGCTTTAGGAGGTTATCGCGGAGCTCGTTGCGCCCGTTTTCGGCTCTTACGATTAATCTCCTACCAGGTTAGTCCTTCCTCACGCATTCTCTTCTTTCACCATCCGTGTTAGTGGAAAAAACTGCAATGTAAAGGATGAACCCACATTCTCGGCGCGTGGGCGACGCGATCCGTTTTGCACCTAAAACATAGCAATAGCTGAGGCTCGGCGCGAATGCGGAGAGCTCGTGGCATGAGAATCTGTGCGCAAGCCCGAGAACATGCCGTGCATGATGCGATGCGCGCCGTGCAAGTGATGCTCAGCGCATCACCTCATCATGATTGCGCCGAGCGGATGCACGGCGTGCGTGATGCGGTGCGCGCCGTGCAAGTGATTCTCGGCGCATCACCTCATCGTGTTCAAGTCGAGCGGATGCACGGCGTGCGTGATGCGCTGCGCGCCGTGCAAGTCATGCTCGGCGCAAGACCATTCCTTGCTTCGCGCATCCCCGTGAACACACCGTGCGCATGCGCGTCGCTATTGCGGGGCATGCCGTGCATGAGACGCTTGGCGCAACCCGGTACACGCCGAGCTGATGCACGGCGCGCATGCACGGCGTGCCGTGCATGGGCAGCTTGGCGCAAGCCCGTTAACACTTCATTCTCTCTATCGCGTCTTCAGGCTCTCTCCCTGCCCCAAATTTTCTGTCCGCGCCCCACCTTATCACACGCCCTCCGTCATTCTCTCTGATTGCCGCACATCGCGTCGTCCCTTCCCTTCATTCCTCCTCGAGGCCCCTCATTCTCTATCTCCGCCTTTCAATCTTTCTCTGGCCTTGCGCCGAGCGGATTCACGGCGCACATCGCACTCGCGCCGTGAAATTGATGCTCGTCGCATGCCAGACCTTGCGCCGAGCGGATTCACGATGCACATCGCACGAATCCGATGCTCGGCGCATGCCAGGCCTTGTGCCGAGCGGATTCACGGCCCACGTGTGAGGCGCGCCGTGAAATTGATGCTCGGCGCATGCCAGGCCTTGCGCCGAGCGGATTCACGGCGCGCGCCGTTCCTTCCCTTTGCCCTCCGTTCCCTCACCCCGCCATCCCCTTTCTCTGCCCTCCCTTCCTTCGCTCTGCCCTGCCAAATCCCCTCTGTCATCCCCTCGATGTGCCCTCCCTTCCTTCACTTTGCCCGCCATTCCCTCACATCGCCATTCCTGCTCTCTGCCCGACGTTCCTTCGCTCTGCCCTGTCATTCCCCCTCTCTGTGCCCTCCTTTCCTTCTGTTTGCCCGCCATTCTCTCACCCCACCATCTCCTCTCAGTGCCCTCCGTTTTCTCCTTTGGCCTCCATTCCCTATCTCCATCCGCCCCTCCCAGGGAAACTCGCTGCTCCTGCTCATGTTTTCATGCCCCACACTCTCCCTGCCCCACCCTCTCCCTATCCGCCCCACCCTCTCCCTATCCGCCCCACCCTCTCCCTATCCGCCCCACCCTCTCCCTATCCGCCCCACCCTCTTCCTTTTTTCTAAACAATACAGACAATGGTGTACAGCTGCCCCGATTGTCCCGCCACGGGCTTCACAACAAGAGGCAACGTGACGAACCATCGGCATGGCGGACGATGCCCCGGGAATCTGCGTAATGCGGCTGCGGCAAATAGTGGCAACCCATTCCTCATGAACCGGCACAATGCCACCTGCATGCCATCCCCCACCCTCTCCATTCCCTCCCCCACTCTCTCCATGCCCACTCCTCCTAGCGCCGAAGTAGATTCGGAGCCTCTACGAGGCAATGAGGGATCCACGCATGACAACATGGTGCCCGACTCATTCCATCCAGCCCCCACTCCCTCAAATAGTGTTGAATCAACGCCGGATGTGTTGCCTGATGACGCCACCTCTGCCCCTACGAATGGTGAGGCCGAGGGCAGCACAAATGATGGTGAAGAGAGTCCACCGTTTAGTTTTTTGAACGCATTTGTGCATAGGTTGCTCACTTGTGGAGTGAGCAAGAAGAAAGTTGATGAGTTGCTACAGATTTTTAGCCACCATGAGACGTGTCTCAAGCAATTGCGCGAGCTAAAAAACATGAGAGACGTTGAGAAATATGCGGACGACCACGCACCTGATGCGCATCGGAATTGGAAAAAGGCTAAAGTGCGGCTCGCGGGTAAGCCTTATGTTTAATATTTCTACTGTGATGCCATCCAAGGCATCAAAGATCTTTTGACACACCCAAAGGTGGCCCAAAAACTGGTGTTGCACCCCACCCCTCGTGCCTCAAATGTGAAACATGTGTATTCCACTCCCAAGACGGGAGATTGGTGGGATGCTCTCCATGAAAAGATACGGAAAGAGGACCCTAATGGGGTGGTGTGTGCTCAGATCCTTGCTAGTGATGAGACGCATTTGGATCATTGGGGGAAAGCCAAAGGCCATCCGGTATATCTTTCCTTGGCCAACATTGATAAAGATGATCGATGGAAACCATTCGGTCATGTTTTGCTAGCTCTATTGCCCGAGTACCCATCGGAGTATAACTCCGATGATAAGCTTTTTTTGTTCCAAAATATCATGCACACCGTTCTTGAGCCTTTGATCAAGGCGTCACATCATGGTATTCCTATTGAGGACGTGGCCGGAGTGTCATACAATGCGTGGCCTGCGCTCTATGCATATGTTGCCGATTACCCTGAGACATGCAAGGTGTCGTGCACCAAGCAAGGGTGGAACACAAGCCACCCTTGCTCCATTTGCACCGTGTACAAGGAAAGCTTGAAGGATTTGCTTGACCAACCAAAAGCACGCTTGCCGACCATGCAAAGAACGAGTGCTTCTTTGATAAAACGTCCTTGCTTACCCACGGGGGAGAACATGGAGCCATCGACACACCCCGTGAAATGTTTCCTATGGGGATGACGTTTCGAGTCTCATGCACTTCTCAACCCGTATCTATACCTAATGCCGGATATTATGCACCAAGCGGATTTGGGCATCCTAGATTACATCATTGATACAATTCGCGCTCAATGCACGGAAACACAGAGGGAAGCGTTGGATACGAGGTTGAAATTCTACAAAAGTATCAACCGCAACCCGTGTCAGAACATTATAGCTTATGCTGTTGTGTAGGCTATAGTGGGGTATCCCATAGGGGGTACAACCCAATTAGGGTTTCCTATATGTACTCACTTCATTCATAGTTCATCCATCCTCGTTCTCATTCTCACATGGAATCAGAGCAGGTCCCCTCCTAGGGACTGTTCCTTGGGCCCACCGAAGTGCGCCTCGAGTCGTGCTCTCATTTTTTTTTATTTTTTTTTTTTAGCGACCCGCTGTGTCGCCCCTAGCGGCCCGTCGCACCGCCCTTACTGTCGCGTCGAGCCGCCCTAGCGGCGTGACATGCCGCCCTTACAGCGGCCGGTCGCGCCGCCCTACCTCGCGGCCCCGCCGCCTCATCGCGCGGCCCCGCCTCCCCTTCCTCGCGGCCCCGCCGCCCCATCGCGCGGCCCCGCCGCACCTTACTTGCGGCCCCGCCGCCCTGTCGAGCGGCCCCGCCGCCCTTTCTAGCGGCCCCGCCGCCCTTCCTCGCGGCCCCGCCGCCCCGTCGAGCGGCCCCGCCGCCCTTCCTCGCGGCCCCGCTGCTCCGCCGCGCGGCCCTACTGCCGCCCTACCTACGGCCCGGCCGCCGCCCTACCTGCGGCCCTCACGCCGCCCTACCTGCGGCTCACCCGCCGCCCTACCTGCGGCCCATACGCCGCCCTATCTGCGGCCCACCCGCCGCTCTACCTACGGCCCTACCGTCGCCCTACCTGCGGCCCACCAGCCGCCCTACCTGCGGCCCTACTGCCGCCCTACCTGCGGCCCTCCGCCGCCCTACCTGCGGTCCACCAGCCGCCCTACCTGCGGCCCTACCGCCGCCCTACCTGCGGCCCACCCGCCGCCCTACCTGCGGCCCACCCGCCGCCCTACCTGCGGCCCACCCGCTGCCCTACCTGCGGCCCACCCGCCGCCCTACCTACGGCCCACCCGCCGCTCTACCTGCGGCCCACACGCCGCCCTACCTTCGCGGCCCAGCCGCCCTACCTACGCGGCCCAGCACCAGCCGAGCCGCCCAGCAGCATCCGAGCCGCCCGGCATCAGCCGCGCCGCCCAGCAGCGGCCGTGCCGCCCAGCAGCAGCCGAGCCGCCCAGCAACAGCCGAGCCGCCCAGCAGCAGCCGAGCCGCCCAGCAGCAGCCGAGCCGCCTAGGAGCAGCCGAACCACCCAGGAGCCGCCGAGCCGCCCAGCAGCAGCCGAGCCGCCCAGCAGCAGCCGAGCCGCCCAGGAGCCGCCGAGCCGCCCTCCTACCGGACCGCCCGACCTGTCCTGTCTGGTGAGCACAACACCGCCCCACTGCTACTGCATGCCCTTCCCCACGGCTTGCTCTGCTAGTCTGTCGTCATGGCTACCCCCAATGTCCTCGCTTTTGACGCTGAGGGTCGAGCCATTGACTTTGAGGTCTGTGTCGACGACCTGCAGTTGTCTTTACAGTGCGATAGGGCGGACGGTCTTTCTCTCTTTGACCTCACCTCTGGCGCCTCTCCTGCCCCTGCTGCTGATGCTGACCCCACTGTTCGCTCTCAGTGGGCCACCCGCGATGCTGCTGCACGTCTTGCTGTGCGTCGCCACCTCCCTACCACTAAGCGCGCGCACTTTAGTCAGTACAAGAGTGCTCAGACCTTGTACGACGCTGTAGTTGCGCGCTACTCTTCCCCTGCCACTGCTGCACTGAGCCGTCTCATGCTACCGTACCTCTTTCCTGATCTCACTGCCTTTCCCACTGTCGCTGACCTCATTACGCACCTCCGCACTAGTGACACTCGCTACCGCGCCGCCCTTCCTGCTGAGTTCTGCGCCAAGAACCCCCCCCCCCCCATGTACATCGCTCTCTATTACATAGTCACTCGTCTCCCTGACTCCCTGCGCGTAGTCAGGGACCACTTCCTCTTAGTCTGTCCCACCACTCTCACTGTTGATCTCGTCGAGAAGGCCCTCCTAGCGGCAGAGAAGAGCATAGTCGCTGTAGGAGCCTCCCGTGGAGACTCGCGCACCCCCATCTTTGAGGGGTGTTCCCCTTCCCCCCTGCTGCCCTCTGTTGCCTCTGCTGCTGCTGCCGACCTGCTTGGTCTTGAGTCGGTCGGCGCGGTGTCTGCCCCTAGCGGGAGACGCCGCCCTGGCAAGGGCAAGGGGGGCAAGGGCGCGGGTGGAGCTGGCGGGGGCGGTGGAGGTGGTGGTGGAGGCGGCGGAGGGAGTGGGGGTGGCAGTGGGAGTGGTGGCAGGAGTGGTGGCGGTGGCGCCGGCAGCGGCGGCGGAGGTGGTGGCGGCGGAGGCGGTGGGAGCGGAGGTGGTGGTGGTGGCGGAGGTGGAGGCGGTGGTGGCGGAGGAGGTGGAGCTGGTCGGGGTACTGCCCCTCAGCGGAGCGGCTCTGGTGGTGGTCCGCGGCAGCAGCAGCAGCAGCAGCAGCGTTCTCGGGACGTCCCCACGCCTCAGCAGCTCCGTGAGTGGTACACGCAGAGTCAGCGTGGTGGAGGCTTTAGCCCGTGCAACTACGTTCTTCGCAGCGGCGACCGCGCGGGTGAGCAGTGTGGGGGTGCCCACTCCACCCGGCGCTGCTTTGGCCGACTGGCGGACGCGTGGCGTCAGCAGTTCCCTGACGCTTCTGAGATCCCCCGCTGGGGAGAGCTGTCTAGAGCTGGTGTAGCGATCTTTGAGCTAGACTTTGATGCCATCCTTGCTGTCATGTATGCTGTGTTTACACTTGACTCTGGTGCTTCTCGCTCCTTCTTTCGGGACCGCACCACACTCACGCCGCTTGGCCGGCCGGTTGCGGTCTCCCTGGCTGACCCCTCTGGGGGTCCTGTCCTCTCTCAATTCTCCACTGTCCTACCGTGTCTAGCTGCCCCCTCGGGCGATCTATCTGGTCTGTACCTCCACTCGTTCTCGACGAACTTGGTGAGTGGTGCTGCCCTACATGATGCGGGGGTTCACCACTTTACTCCTGCGAGTCAGCGGGTGACCCACTGCACGGACGCGCACACAGGTCGGCACCTGGCCAAGTTCTCCCGTCGGCCGGGGTCGAGCCTCTACACCCTGACCACTGAGTCTCCTCCTATCCCTGTGTCTGGCCAGGTAGCTGCGTCGGGTGAGGTGTTTGCTACTGCGTCCAGGTCTGGTCCTGAGTCTGCCCCCTGCTCGTGTCGCCTCCTGTCTCACGAGACTCTCCTGTGGCACCACCGTCTTGGCCACCCCTCCTTGCCCCGTCTCAGGGACATGGCTTCCCGTGTCGTTGTCTCAGGTCTTCCCCAGTCTCTCCCTCCCCTTCCTTCGGGGCGAGGAACTTCCTATGTCCCTTGTGTCGAGGGGCGCCTCCAGGCTGCCCCCCACTCCTCACAGTTTCCTCCGACAGAGGCTCCTCTGCAGACGCTTCACATGGACGTGTGGGGCCCGGCCCGCGTCCGTGGACAGGGTCACGAGCGCTACTTTCTGCA